CTCGTCTCTGCAGACATAAAAACACACACACACACACACACACACACACACACACACACACACACGTGCAATTAAAAATAATAAAAATAAATCTTTAAATATTTTCGGATCATTGTATTAATCATTTAAAAAATTGCCAAGCATGAGTAGCCAAAATTAGCAAACTACTGTCTGTGGGCCAAACCCAACCTATCATCAGTTTTTGTGAATGGTTTCATCATAACACAGAAACACCTACTCATTCATTACCCTTGCTTTTGTGCTCCTGTGGCAGAGTGGAGCATTTGCAACTGAAGCATGTAGCCTACAAACTCTAGATTCTACTGACGCTTTGAAGAAAGTTTGCCAATTCCTGCTTAACATGTGCAAGGCCTCACATAACCTGCTTCATTTTCTCATTGCCACAGCACACTAAGCAGCTGTGGGATCATCCTGCCTCCATGGTAGAAGAGACTTCATGAAGAGTACTTGTCAGATTGATGCTAAGTCAGTGGGAAAAACTAGCTCCAGTAAGACAAAATTATTATCAAATTTACAGAATTGAAATTTTTGCAAACTTGTTGAAATCTTCCCAAATCTGACATCATTTTTTAATCAGTAGTTCATTTATAGAGAACAGGCCCTCTGAGAAAGTAACCAAGTTCATCTCTCTGCCTCCATGAACCTTGAACATGAAACTGTCCCAGACCAACTTCCTAGGGTTATTTACTCCAAACTATGGTCCACGGACTACCTACATCAGAGCACCTCACTGAGTCCATGGACATAAGCTTCTGAACATAAATATAACAATAACCTGATCAGTCAGAATCTGCTGCAGTTTCATAAACTTACTGTGCTCATTAAATTTAAGGACCACGACTTTGGGGGAAAAAATCTTTCAGCTAGATGTGGTGGCACACACCTACAGTCTCATGAACTCCAGGAGGGAAGACAGGAGATGATGAACCTGCATTATGTAGCAAGACTGTGTCTCAAAAACAAACAAACAAAAACCTCAGGGCCAAATTCCTTGTCCTGTTCAGCTTCACTGCATCTGCAGTTTGCAATGTTTGGTCCTCTGTGAAAGATGTTAGTGGGTTTCCACTGTCCCTCTGACAAGTGTCATCCTCACTAACCTTTCATTTTAACTCTCCTCTGCATGAGAGCTCCTTAATTTCCCCTATTAAAAGCCAGACGTGTCACATTTGTTCTATACAGAAAAGCAAATATATTGTTAAAGTGATGTGCTCAAGCCACAACATATTTCATGGAATTTCAAACAACCATTCCAAAAAAATAAAGATTTTGAGAGCTTAGCTCAGAGAACGGCTATTCTTTGAAGCCAGTCTTTCACCCTGGAGGATGCTGCCCCTGACCTTTAGGTTTGAGCCGCTTCCAGGAGGTACAATGTGCTGACACCAAATAGTACTTAGATCCTTGTCCATACTTAGATCCAGTACTTAGATCCTGACCTGGAAATAGATCAAAGCAGCTAATAAAAATGTTCCTGGGATTACACTCTACTTGATCCAGGTCAGATGCCAAAGCGATATGAAGCATGCAAGATTTTATTAAGGAGCCGATCTGTGTGGGGTGAATAAGAGGAGAACAAGAAAATGCTGCAAGAGTCCTCGGCTCAGACTGCTGTCCAATAGAAGAAAGATTCCTTGGGGCCCCAGAGTGGTTAGGTCATCAGAGACCCAGAGAAGCTGGTGCTTCCTCCACTACCAATCCAAGCAAACCTTTGTAAGGATGGGCTACTCTGCCCATGTGGGTGACAAGTGGACTTCTGAAGCTTGTATTTCAATACTGTGCTTAGATATCACTCTATAAACACTACACATTCTGAGAGGAGGATTTTACTTACAATTAATAAAGAGTTTTATTGTTAGATGGCTCCATACTTTGACCTGGTTAATACAAAGTGACTGATTATATAAAAGCATCAGCTTCTCTTGATGTTGAACTATTTCAAGTTTCCTCAACCTATGTGACCTAGATAAAATGCTCAGAGCCATTGTATGTCAGAAACAATTCTATTTTGCTTCATTAAATTTAGTTTGTTCTCTCTCTCCTCTCTCTCTCTCTCTCCTCTCTCTCTCTCTCTCTCTCTCTCTCTCTCTCTCTCTCTCTCTCTCTCTCTCTGTGTGTGTGTGTGTCTTTCTGATGGGGGAGAGATACAGTTTCTCCCGATATTGCCTTTACTGGCCTGGAACCCACTATATAGACTAGGTTGGCTTTTAACTCACAGATATCCACCTGCCTCTACCTTCCAAGTGCTGGAATTAAAGGCATGCACCACTGCGCCTCGCTAGGAGTCTAATACATGAATCAAAGTAAATCACTTCCCCCAAGTTATGTGACAAGTAAGTGGTCTGTTGGCATTCACAGCCAGAACTGTCTAGCTCTCAGGCCAGTAAAGGAGTGCAGGATACTAAAGATATTTTAAAATCATGTATTATCTTTGTATTTTCCTATGACTCTCTAAAATCCTAAAGTGGAATATGGGGCATCAGTATTGTCACATCTCTATGTATCAAAGATGGAAATGATCCGAAGCAGTATTAAAAGGTCAATGAAGTATAGGCTGTCCAAAAAAAAAAATTCAAAAATCAGGGCTGGAGAGATGGCTCAGCAGTTAAGAGTACTGGCTGCTCTAGAGGAACTGGGTTCATTTCCCAGCACCCACATGATAACTAACAACTATCCCTAACTCCAGTTAAGGATCCAGGGGATCAGAAGCCCTCTCTTCTGTGGGTATTGCACATATGTGGTACACTTACATGTATGCAAGCAAAACACTCATAAAATTTTTTAAATTGAAAAATGGCTTTAGGGGCTAGAGAGATGGCTCGGTGATTAAGAGCACTGGTTGCTCTTGTGGAGGACCCAGGTTCGATCTCCAGCACCCACACAGTGGGCAACATTAGTCTGTAACTCCAGTTCCAGGGGATCTAACACCTCTTCTGACCTCTGCAGGCATTGCACGACATGGGTGTACCTACCTACATTCGGGCAATATACTCATACATATTAAAAAAGAATAATAAATCAAATATTTTAAAAATGCTTTAATATGTTTATGTCTGATATCATAGAATGAAATTGTATTAATGTCTATGTTAATAAATATGTTGTTACTTTATATATTAAGGTTTCCAGATAAGAATGGGAACTGGATTATTTGGAAGAAACATCTTCATAAGAACCTGAGGAAATAAAAATAAGACTTTGAGAAACCCAGGTTTAGGCAGAATTCATTTCTTCATTTAATATTTAGTAAGTACCACTGTGTGTTGGGCACTGTGCTATGCCTAGAGATACCAACATGAACAAGAAATAAAAAACAGCGGGTTTAAAGCTTAGTGAATTATAAGGCAAGCACCCTACTACTGTGATATATCCTTAGCCTTCCTTTTACTTTCATTTCAACTGTGTTTATTGGGGCTGAACAGGTGATCTCAGCAGTTATGAGCGCTTCCTATTCTTTCAGAAGATCTGAATTTGGTGCCCAGTACCTACGTTGGTCAACTCACAGCTGCCTATAA